CCCAGCCACTGTGGCCACACTGCTATTTCTCACTCAGAGCTAGTGCTTGTGCATCCACCCAAGCTGGGAATTACCTTTCCCAGCTGCAGTGAAGCCATACCCATAACGAGACCCATTCTCTGCCCCACGGTGCTCACAGTCTGATCAGCTGCAGAATGCTTCAGCTGGAAATGGGCAAGAACACCAAGCAAACCCAGAAACCACCATGCACCTTTTACATCCTGTACCTGAATGTGCAAGCACACCCCCATGTGCACACTGGCTCGGATACCTCCACACACCCTCACAAGATAGTATTCCACAGGGAGGGAGAAAGAGCCCCTTGTGATGAGCGACAAGGAAGAGACATGGAATCTGAACAGCGTGTGTGAGTGCGTGCGCGCATTCGTTCGTGGGGTGTGCCAGTGTGTGTTTGCTCCTGTGGGTGCATGAGTGCAACAAACAGCAGAGAAGCAGGTCAAAGCACAAAGGGGTTCTTCATTATCAGGTATTGCAGGAACTACAACAAGCCATATTGTATGACCTGCGGCTGCCCAGGGCACTAGCCCTTCTATTATCATTCGTTGGATTCCTGGCACTTGATTGCAGGGTTTGTACCTTAAAATCTGCTATTGCCAACGAAACCTCTTCCCTCCTCCGTAACCATTAACATTAGTGGGACTTCCACCATCAGGAGGAGATGCCAATGCACACCTCACTAGCTCCTGGGGATGAGGTACTTTATACCAGCTTGTCACAGCACCACCTGCTAGGGGTTTATGACAGATGCGTTTTATAATGGGCTTTATTCTACGTTATTAAGAAATGGAGCAGCTTCCGCTGTTCGTTCATTAAATATTAATAGAACATTTATAAACCAATCCTTAATTTAAAGCGTTACCTTTAATCAAAGCCAGGGTGATAGCAATGCAGGCGTTGGTAAAGCCCCTCTGGTGGGATCTAAACCTCGCACATTGAGATTTTTTTGGCACTTAAGGGTACATTACTGCTCGGGGTACAGTGCACTGAAGCTGCTGCTGCTGCCAGTGAGTACAAGCAGGAAAGGCAACTGCAGTCTGCCCCGAACAACGCGGACCTGTTGCAGGGTGGCCCATGGCTCTCTCTAGCTCAGTGGCTCACTCGGCCTCGCCAGCTCTGAAAGCGAGGTGGTGAGTGGGGTACAAATGCTTGTCTAGACAGGCAGCCTCTACCCTTCATCCTGGCTCCAATATTCCAAGCTCCTAGCTCGTGTCAGAACTACTGACAGCGGCCCGATGACTGGCATGTCGGTCCCTTCCTCCCCGCCTAGCAGAGGGACACTCACCTGTTTTACTGTCCACTGTGAAGTGCTGCTCTCCTTCCAGCACACTGTACACCACCCTGGCACTGCTGCCGTACGTGGGGTCATCGGCATCTGAGGCCATCACCTGCATCACGGACGTGCCTGCACAACAGGACAGGGCAGAAACAACAACAAAAACAAGCCTGAACCAGCGGGGCAGAACCACTCAGACCTTCAAGCCTGGGTCCCCCTGGGGCTGGCCGGGCCCGGGTTGGTAACAGCACAGAGGCTGATATAGCCAAGGACGAGGGTGACCAGATGTCCCGATTTTAGAGGGACAGTCCCGATTTTTGGGTCTTTTTCTTATATAGGCTCCTATTACCCCCCACACCCCATCCCAATTTTTCACACTTGCTGTCTGGTCACCCTACCAAGGGCTATGAACGTATGCTGGGATAACACCCCCACCCCAGTGGGACAGGTTACAGGGGAGAGGGCTGGAGCCACTGGCAGATTGTGCCCAGTTCTGGGGTCCACAACTCAAGGCTGCTGATAAACTGGAGAGGGGGCAGAGAAGAGTCGTGAGAACGATAAAGGATTAGAAAACGGCTCATAGTGAGAGACTCACGGAGCTCAATCTGTTTTGCTACTCAAAGAGAAGGTTACTGGATGACTTGATTACAGCCAATAAGGACCAAACTGGGGAACAGAAATTTCATAAGGGGGGGAGGTCTCCCACCTAGCAGACAAAAGCCTAACATGATCCAATGGCTGGAAGTTGAATCTAGACAAATTCAGACTGGAAATGAGGTGTAAATGCTTAAAATGAAGATAATTAACCACTGGAACAACTTCCCAAAAGTCCTGGTGGATTCTCCCATCACTGA